AATGAACTCTGGAATCATGCCCAACCCCTCGCAAGGTTTGGAATAAATCCAGTTGTGCATATCTGGTGTGGTATCTATTTCAGTTAGAGTATATCTATTTCCCCATTATATTTACTGTTTTGTTTTGTTTTAGACACTATCTGTTTTAATCTGTATACTGTCCAGAGACAGTGTTGAGTGGGGCAATCTTACTAATATAAATTTTAAATAAGTAAACACTTTTAGATTTTGGAAAAATCTATCAGTGTATTATATTTACTCAGGAAAATTAGATGTTTTTCATGCTTATTGATTTGCAGTGGTTTCAATAAATGATTAAAGTAAAACATATTCAGAGACTGAATTGATATCTGCCATTACATATAAAAGAAAATGCTTATAGCTGTAGATACTTTTGTTATTCATATGGGGTATTTTAAAACATTGATTATATCAAAGTACAAGAATGTTGTGCTGTATAATTTCGGGCATGCTCAATACAACATGTAGCATTAAAATTACCTTTTCTTCATTATGAATGATTTCTATACTACCTCATTGGACACAAATATAAGCTTGAATTCCCACTGCATCTAATTTATTATTACTGCTGTAGATATTATTTTGTGTTACACTGAATAGAGTATTTCTAGAAATATATTGCAAAAACCTACAGGGGAGGAAATGGCAAAATAAAACTGCTTTGGAAGTTATTACATTTTTATAATAGACCAGCACATTATTCCCATAGAAAAGCACTTTAAGAAAATGGTTTGGATATTTTCATCAAAAATATATTTTTTTGCAAACCCATTTTATTTAGACTTTGTGCTGGCAACTTGGAACAGATACTTCAAATAAATTACATATGATGTTCTGGTACATGACCTCTAGTGGGCTTAATTTTTTTTTTTCAATTAGCATCTCCTATCAATGAATTTGTGCCTTTCATTAGAAATACAGGAAATAGATGTTTTTCCTCCTATCTACTTTCAATTCTGAAAGCAGAAAAACAGGTTCCTGCCCAAATTAAAATTAGATAAAATTCCTAGAATTATTAGATAGATATATTAAACTTATATGCCGCCCTTCTCCCAACAGGACTCAGGGCGGCTTACAGCATATTAAAACGATACAAACACTATCCCCAATAAAAACCAATTAAAAACAAATATTTACCGCTGTGTTACCATTAAAAATCTAATTAAAATTGTCCCTATTTAAAATTCTCCCTAGGCCAGACCCGCTTGCTGAAAAAGCCATGTCTTGAGGGCGCGGCGAAAAGATAGGAGATCCGGAATCGTCTGGATCTCGGGGGGTAGTTCGTTCCAGAGGGTGGGGGCACCCACAGAGAAGGCCCTCCCCCTGGGGGTCGCCAGCCGACACTGCTTGGCCGACNCCCTGGTCACGGCCGACAAATGGTCTTCCAGTGTCAGCCGTGGATCCAGGAGGACACCCAAGTTGCGTGCCCTCTCTGAGGGGGCCAAAATTTCGCCCCCTATAGACAGCGATGGAATCAGCTGACTATGCCGAGGCGCCGGCAACCACAGCCACTCGGTCTTGGAAGGGTTGAGTCTGAGTCTGTTCCTCCCCATCCAACCCTCTGCTTGTATGATCAGACACTGATTGCATTCAAGTTCAAGGGACTGGTTCCCAATATGTACATAAGGTGGAGAAATCCCTTACAACACTTTCTTCCCCACTGGGAAGATTTAAATAACTTCCGTTCAAAGATGCTTGGAGACAGGCTTGCAAGACTGGAATTTTCAAGCTACTTATATAATATGGGCAATTGCCCATTCAGAATTTTTTTTAAAAAAAATCTGATATTTAAAATGATGTGTGACGTGTAAAGGACAGAGCATTTAAAAATACTGAAATACTGCTTTGGTTTGGCTGTATTTGCTAATGACAAAATTACTTCAATCTCCACATGAGAAATCCACATCCATTAGATCACGGGTGTCAAACTTGATTGCATCACCTGATGTACCGTGATGTTTTTTGCCTTTGCGGAGCTGGGGTGCGTTAGATAATTGTACCTGTGCGTTAGATAATTATACTGCTAGCAACTTTTAGGCTATGTGGTAATCCTTTGAGATGCACAACAGGTTATGCGTTCATATGTGGAGATTACAGGCAGGTCATGACCAGCAGCATAATGCAACTGATGGCTTCTCTGCCTGAAATATGTGAGAAATCTTAATGCTATTGTGCCATTACTTATAAAAAATAAGTAGTAATATGCTAATTTATTATGTTCTACTCACAATAATCTCTATCAATGTTACACTTTATGCTGGGTTAATATCAATGTTCCTTTTGTCCTGTTTTGCAAGTTCAAGATGCTAATGTCATCTTCCATAAGATCAAAGCTCAGATTCATTTTTCAGTGCACAAATATTAGTCTAATCCTGTTAATTATAATGGATATCATCTATTGAACAGGAATCTACATAATTATGTACAAGTGAAATATAAAATTGAAAATCTTTATGAAATCTAGATTACAGAGAATTAGATAGAATTAAGTAATTTGGAATCTTTGCTTGCTCTTATAAAAAGGCTTGCTATATTCACTTGTAATATTAAACCTGAGATAAATAATACAAATGTAAAAATAATGCATTTTTCCTTCCATAGGAGGACCCAGACTGCCCTCTTGAGTATGCCAAACAGCATGGAGTACTTTGCATACTATTCAACTGGCATGCATTTTAGTTTGGAATCTGCTCAGGGATGAAATTTTTGGCTAAATCTGTGGAAATTCTGATACTGCAAGAGACCGGCTGCTTTAATCAGTGATGAAATAAGAAATCACTTCCTTTTAACAATGCCATGCTCTTGGCTTTGTTACTTTCTAGTGATGTTAATTGTTACTTTCTAGAGATAATGTTAATTGTTTTGTGTTTCAAAATATGCAGCAGCACACAGGGATCTCAACAGGGAGTCTTTTACAAACAAAATCATCATCACCATTTTTACCATATTTGTTGAGGGTATGTATTACATTCGTTTGGAAATATACCATAAAACAAAGTATATCATCGAATGGTGTACAATTAATACACCGAGCATGTGTATAGTATATAATTTAAATGAGATGCTTCTGTATTGGCTTAGAATTTTATTGCTGATTCATCTCGCATTAATATCTTTGACAAAAAGTGTTAAGATGCTTAACTGCATCTTCATGGTTATATGTTTCAGTCAGAAAACTGCAAAATCTTCTAACTTCAGTAAAGACAATTTTAGCAACTAGCCATGAGAAAACAATATTTCAAGCATTAAGCTAAATTCATTTCAACCCAATTACTTAAAATGCCTTGATCTCAGTGGTTGACAACAGTTGATAACATTCAGTAGAATTAGTGAGATTGTGGAAAATAAAGAATAACTGGTAGTGTAAAAAAAAAAGGATGGTTTCCAATAATCATGTATTCCTAAAACTTTCTTTTGTTGAGAGAGAATGAATTTTATGAATATAACTATAAAATAAGTGATGTCCATGGATTAGTGTCTTGATCAGGGGAGACAATGTAACTATGGTAACTGATAGTTCTAATCAATTATAAACCTTCAAGAACTCAAGTAGGCATTGAAAACTTCAAGCAGGCATGGAAAATCTCTGGGCATTCCACAATGATCTTAGTTGAAACCTCTTTCCAATCCACACTTCCTTTGTTTTCTTATTGGGGATATTTACTTCTATGACTTTATTCTTGCTTTGTTTCCTGTCATTCGGATCATAATTTGAATGTCTTTTATTGCCGTGCTTTCATCCCCCTTTATGATTTCTGTATAAGAGATGAGAACAAGCTAAGATGCATCTCTAGTGTTATGGTCTTCTATAAACCTGAGGCTCAAAAGGGAGACCTGATACCAAGTCTAATAGATTGGGGAGCCATCAGGCAATCAGACAGTTGCAGCAGTTCAGAATCAATGAACCAGAACAGGTGTGATTGAACTCAAAGCATAAGGGGCCTGATCCAGAACTCTAGTCCAAGAATATATCAACAATTATGAAGGGAAGGACTGAAGTAGTCAGCTCTCAAAAGACAACTCCCTAATTATGTTATACCAGGAACCAGGGTTATGCAAGAGCAACCTCCCGACTCTTTTCTCATTGTTGGAAACAGCTTCCTGTTTTTGGACTGGCTTCTTGTTCTTGCCTCCTTGCCAGACAACCTGAACATCTGGTTATAATCCTGGACTCAATTTCTGGATTTCTCTGCTTTGGCCTTGCTGTTCTCACTGGCAATTTGCACCAAAAGGTAAGAACTCACCTTCTCTATAAATGGCTCTTATTTACAATCTCTCAAAGTGCTATGCCTATCCCTCAACATAAGCCCCCCACCCCTTCCCCCATTTAAGCTGGTTGCAAAATTGCTACACAGTTATTGTTTGTGTGATTTTTGTATAGGGAGCTACCATTACAAGGGATATTCTGTCTTTGAGAGTACTGTAGACAATCAGATTAAATATACATGTTCATGTACATATGCAATTGTTGTGTAATTATAACTTCAAGCACCTCAGAGGCTACATTCCCTTAGTGAGGTGAGTGACCACTGCATGTGGACTTCTGTGTATTTATCAACAACCAAAACAGGTTCCTCAATCTTAGAGAATTCCAGAACCATTTCCCCATTTTTTCCTAGCCTAAAAATAGCATTAAAGATGACTGGTTAAGCACCATTTTTCATAATATGATGACAATGACAAAGGAATAGTCACCATTTTGTATATATGAACACATTTTTATAATTACTTTATAGAACTAACTAGCTGAAGTCACAATAAAAAGTGAAACATTTTAATATTTATTTTGAGAGGGGAAAACTAAATGTATATTCAAAGCAGTATTAAAAAGTTTGCTTTTCCTATGACAGCATTGATCTTTTAAGAAAATAAAGTGTATGAATACAACCACTCACCCAATTGCCATGACTTTAATGCCATTTAGGTTCTAGAAATCATTTCAGAAAAAGATTGGATCCCTTACGTTTTTTTTAAAAAAAGTATTTTATGTCCTACATGAAATATGCTTTACTATTATGAAAATCTGAAAATTTACTTTATTTCTTCTTCAGCAGTTGAAAGTTTTTCAGGTTCTGAGCATTTAGTAACCTCTGTAGGAGTTATATGATTAGAACCAGTATAACATTTTGAAAACCACATGTAATCATTTTTAGGTGCAGAATGCAGAGCAATGCATTTATCAATATGGCTTTTAGGAAATCGACCTAGAATGGAATGTTTAATATCTGGATATTGGACAAATGAAGTCTGATAAACAGAATGGTAGGCATTGCTGCTAGGAATTTGCTCATGGGCCAAAAAATAGTAGTTTTGCGAATAGTGTTGACACTTTTCTTGAAATTTTCTTACTCCTAGTCCCTAAAAGAAATGAGAAGGCATTTATTTTAGAATATATTTAAGATAGCATGTTCTGTATTACATTTGAGAACCATCAGGAAAGGCTTTAGTAAAAGATCTTGGCTAGCATGTTGATAATTAATTACAAACTATTTCTGAAATTTATTCTCATCTGTTACATAGCAAAAGTAAGTTTTTGCAACATTATTGCAGTAGAAGTGTGGACCTCATAGAAACATGCTGTATCTTAGAAAACCAATCTCTTTTCCTCAAGCTCAAAAAAGATGGGTAATTCCTTCACTTATTACCGAATAGATACAGGTAATACATTTTTAATATGTATCTGTTTCTAACTGAAGTGTGCAAAGCAGTCCTGGTAAGTATTGCAGGCCACATATAAGACAACTTCCGGATGGACCTTAGATGTCCATGTCAGTATTTTTTGATATTGCAGGTAATCCTCCACTTACAGCAGTTTATTTAGTGACCATTCAAAGTTGCAACAGCACTGAAAAAAGTTACATGACTATTTTTTCACACTTATGAACACCCCCATGGTAACGTGATTTACATTTGGATGCTTAACAACTGATTCACATTAATGACGGTTGCAGTGTCCTGGAGTCATGTGATCCTCATTTGCAATCTTCTGACAAGCAAAGTCAATGGGAGAGCCATATTCACTTAACAATCATGTTACTAATTTAACAACTGCAGTGATTTACTTAACAAATGTGGCTAGAAAAATCATAAAATGGGGCAAACTCACTTAAAGAATTTCTCACTTAGCAACATAAATTTTGAACTCAATTGTGGTCATAAGTAGAGTACTACCTGTATACAAACTTCTCTGTATTTTCAAGAACTAAAGATCCTCTAGTACATCTCAAATTTTGGAAAAATATGAATTGCCCTATTAATTAGTAAATGCTATTATACAAGAACCATAAGAATATATCTAAATTTCTACAAAAGAAAATTAACAGCCTATAACTTGTTATGTGTCATAACTGACAAGAAATTTCAATAAGCTGTCATCAATTTTGCCATTCAGCTTAGACAAAGGAAATTCTGTAATACTGAATGAATATAAATATTTCCAAAACATATTACATACCCTACAGAGAATTATTAAAAATTATTCTTAAGAAAATACCATTAAAACAGAATACTTACAGAATCTAAATACTCTCCCATAGTCAATAAACAATGTTTATTATCATGGATTGAAAATGGAAATGTATTTGCTGGTTTCTAAAAGAAAATTTAAAAAAAGTCTTGTGCATTCATATAACAGGATCATAGCTTTCATGTTCTACAGAAATCAAAATTACATGCATATGTAAATATGTGTGATACAAATACATTGTTTCTATTAGTAAAGAATATATTCATAACAGAATTTAATTTCATCTAATCTTAAGCATGCAGAGCTATTGAATGAAATCAAATTTATTTTTATGGGAACAAATTACTAAAATAATTTCAGGATATCTTTCAGAGGCTTACTACTGAGTTCACTGCTAATAAAAACTGAACTTCAAAAGGAAACTCATAATTTAAATCAACCTTAGATTTATGAGCTCAGTACAGAACACTGATACTATATATTAAATGGCAGAATATGTATTTAAAAGGACTACGTCCCAAATCTAGAAAACATATGGATGCATGTTAAATTTTATTATTTGCAGTCTCCTAGGTTTTGCTCTCTACACTAAGCAAAAGCAAAGAAAACTCTAGTTTTCTTTGAAACAAAGTCAACACATTCCCTACTTTCCAACAAGACTCTAATAATGTTAAGACTCTTAATTTAGAATCATAGAATTAAATAAGGACTAAATAGCCAGTGTATTTTCCTGAAATAAAGAATAATTTTTGGTGTTCAAAATATAACCAGACTATAGACCAGAAAAAACAATGTATCTAAATTTATCTAAATCTTCTCAGGATTGTGTTAGGAAGTAAAGGACAACACCTGGAACCAATACATTTCTATTTTTTTTATTAATAGTATTTTTCAGATCTTCCTCCTTNTAAATATTAAATATTGTCCATCTTGAATATATAACGGAAGGAGGAAGCTTGAGAGTTCGCAAGGTTAATGCTGTATGGAATGAAACTCTGGCTGAATCTGGATGTTCTGCTTCGGATACCACGAAGCCTCCTCCCAGAAGGTAACAAGGAAAACAGGTCGTGAAGAGGATGTGTAGTGTCCCAGATAATCTTACGGACCTTGCTCAAGCAGCGCTTCTGTTCTATGTCCTGGATGGGAGGGAGGGAACTGCCAATGATCTTTTCGGCCATTCTCACCACTCTCTGCACCGCCTTCCTATCTGAAGCAGTGATGCCTCCAAACCAGACTGTGATGCTGTATGACAGGATGCTCTCGATTGTCCCCCTGTAGAAAGTGGTCAGGACAAGGGAAGGAAGATGTGCTTTCCTCATGCGGCGCAGAAAATGCAGGCGCTGCTGTGCCCGCTTCACCAGTTTCTCACTGTTGAGCGACCAAGTCAGCCTGCTCGTTAGCTGCACACCCAGGAATTTGATGCTGGTAACCATCTCCATAGGTGAATCATTTATGCACAGAGAAGTGTGGCTGTGCCTGCCTTTTCTGAAATCAACAATGATCTCTTTGGTTTTTCCAGTATTTAAAACTAGGCTGTTTTCCTTACACCAGTTCACTAACCCTTCAACCTCCTTGCGGTAAGCTTCCACCTTGTCATCCTGAATAAGGCCCGTGCAGTCCCAATTATTCATTGGTCTGTCCTATTGAGCTGTTGTACCAAACCAGACAGTTAGAGAAGTAAAAATGACAGATTCAATAATTCCTCTGTAATCCAGTTAAGGAAAATGGAGATCCATATTTGGCTTAAGCTTGTCCCAAAAACTTATCTCTACCATACCCAGGGTTTTTTCAGCATCCACTAAATTGTGGATTCCCTTTTTTCTGAATGTCTAATTAAAGTCTGAGCTCTGTCATCTGTTTATAAAAAATCAGATGGTACAATAAACAATTAAAAAAATATGTAATCCACATGCCAAGTTCAATGTACAAATTCTGGCAGCAACTTTAATGAAATTGGAAAAACTGTACTCCAGCAATAATAAATAAAATAAATAATAAAATCTCCAGAAATATAGGAGTGAAAGAAGATCAAGATATGTCTTATATCACTCAATAGAATAGCTATCGCGACCAGGAACTTTTCAGATTCATAGATTTAATATAGCTATTACTCCCTGAATAGAAAAAGGTGCAGCTTGATATTATCTTGATCACATGTAATCTTTGAAAAAGCTCTATAGCTTTTTAGAAAAGACCAATTTCTTCCTTGGTAATCTCACTCAGTACTACATGCTGATTTACTATTTTAGAGTAATTATATAGTTTGTTCCAAGCACCATTAATAACAGAATTGTTATTACTTGATTGCTGCTATTTCAATCAAGAGGTCAATAATTGATCAGGTCTTTCATCTTACCTTTCACCTCACTCCCCATATGTTTGCTTTATACAATTCAATGAATATGTTGTATATACTTTATAAAGGAAATTAAGTTCCAATTTCACAGATATGAAAGGTTAATATAATTCCAGCTATCACTGTTCACCTATATATGCCATAGGAAAGATCCTTCTATGTCTTTAGTTTAAATGATCCCAAATCAATAAACATTTCTGCAATCTCTAGATCAGGGGTGTCAAACTGCCGGCTCGCGGGCCAGATGTATCATGGTGAAACCGCGCCCACCCCATTGCCGGCAATGGAAAAAAAGTTGTGACACATCACGTTGCGAGTTTGACACCCCTGCTTTAGATTGAAAACTTTCCATATCAGAATCCAAGGGAAAAAAATTAAAATCACAAGGAAAAAGATATTGTCTTTAATATCTTATTCTGTACATAGATCTGAAAAAATGCATTCCACTTTGATGATCTTGCTTGTCAAACTAAGTATATATGGTCCTGTATTATAGATATTAAAAATCTCATAATAGGATTTGAGTTCTGTACTGAATAGCAATGGCAGCACACACAATTTAGTAGTTTTAATTTGTAGCTTATATTTCAGCTGCACTAAAAAAAAATCTCCCGTATAAATTTGTCCCTGAAGATTGCCATAGGTATCTGATCTAAAAGATTACAAATAATCGAAACTAATATATTTCTTGTAACTAATATAGCTTTAACTATTTGTAATTTATGAAATACTGTGAAAAAGAGAAAGATGTGTAAAAACCTTTTGAAAACCTGCATTTTTCTTTCCTACTGTTAAGTATTTCCTATTACCAATTAATAAGCTGTAGTAGTATACCATTTTCTTTATGTGCTGTTTTAATCTCTTCCTTGCATGCAAAGACAAATCCTTGAAAAAGAACAAGTGTGTTAGAGTCAGTTACTTTTTAGAACCATTGCTAATTATTGTAGGAAAGTGCCAAATGTATACTTCAGAACTCTGATATCTGGGTTATTTAAAATATTTATAAATGATTTGGATCAGAGTTTCATAATATGACTAGAGTGAGATAATAACAGGAAAATCTTAATATGCTAGAACTATGGGTGGAATTAAGTAAGATGAAGTTTAAAGGGGACAAATACAAAGTCATACATTTAAGCAGGGAAAATCCAAATCATAAGATGGGAAGGGATCAAACTAAGCAGCACTACATGCAATAAAAATCTGGCTGTCTTGATACATCATTAGTTGAAGATGAGCTCCCCAAAAGCAAAAGCAATTCTAAGATGCTTCAAGAGAAATATAGATTAAGTCAAGTCATAATTCTTCCCTATTTTGCTTTAATCACATCACACTTAGTTTATTGCATCCAGGTCTGGGCACATTTTAGGAAGGGCATTGACAAGAATATGCAGAGAAAAGAGAACGAGGTAAAGGGACTGGAAAGAAACCCCTAAGGAGCATGAAGAACAGAAGACCACAGAGATACATGAAAACTGTTTACAAATATCTGAAGAGCTATCATTTAAAAGATGGGACAGAATTGTTCAGATTTGTTCCAGGGTGTAGGACAAGAAACAATGGATTTAAAACACAAGGAAATGGATTTTATTACAGAAATAAATATATGTTGCAGCAATAAAAGGCCATTCATAATAGATTTGATAAACCAATAAAGTGTAAACCAAACAATTTTCACAAAAATTGCCTGCCTTTTGCTTTATTACTCAATATGTCTAAAGTGTGCTTGCAACTACTACAAACAGAACACCTACCAGATTACAAAAACACTCAGATATTACAGATTAAAAATGTCTTTCCTTCCCACAAAAAAAATCCTTCACCATGAAAACATACAATAAAACACTACATTGATCAAAACGATATTCAAATATATTTCTTAAGGTGTCAATCATTCGTTTCCAAAAACTACAACTGTTCATTAGAATAATTAAGATGAGAAAGTATGCATTCCATAATATAGTTTACTTAGTTTTGGCTTACAGGTTTGGATAAACTGAAAAAAAAATAATATGTTGTAAACCAAGCAAAGTTCATACACTGCACTGAGTCCTGGGATACTTAACCATAATTTGCTGAATAAGCCATAACTGACTTTGACTAAAGTCAAAACCCATGGTTTTATAAAACATAGTGGCTAAATTCATACAGTGAAATAAATTACACTGTAGTTTCTTCACTTTTGGCTTAGCATGTTGTGTGAACATGTATTGAGTAAGTGCCTCTACAACTTTTGTTCCAGGGAATTTTGCTTGGCATTCTTTTTGTTTTCTTTTTGGCATGAGGCAACTAATTTGTTATTTAACCAAACTGAACCAAATAGTTTATGCTGCAAATCTATAGTTTTTTTGGGGGGGTAAGCCATGTAAAATTAAATGGGTTTTACTTGCCTTAAATAGACATTTATAGGATATGTTATATCAACCTACATGTTACTTTATGATCTTTTTTATATTAGTCTACTAAAATATCTGATTTGTAATTGTGTCTATTAGATATTGTCCTGTTTTCTTTTTTCAATTCTGAAAGCTACCGTGAGGGCTTAGGCTGAAAACCAGCTAAAAATAGCATGCATACATAAATGAAGAAGGGACTTAGAGCAACTAGTGGGAATAAGCAGAGTTCTGATACATGCCACTTGTTCACTTTTATAGGCAACGCCTCTCAGGAAGTACGGCTAATATTGATTGCTCCATCTGTGGTTAGTTAATTATTAGTTAATCCCTGATTTCTGTGTACAAACAAATTATGCACAGGTAGTTATCTACACCTGGAAGCAGGAGGATTTAAAAAAAGAGTGATCAAGCATATTGATCAACATGCTAGTTATTATCAGATATGCCAGTATTAAAAAGCAAATACTTTGATACAAACACACACATACTCTATCACTCCACATAACATAATCTTTATCTGCTTTGGATATAAATAGAAAGCGGAGCAAATTGCCATTTTCCGTTAGGAAAGACAGCTAAGCTAAAGCTTTGGGGCTCTGTAAGAACAACAAAAAAATTTCAGGTGCTATAAAATAATTTCATTCCTGTCTAGCACATTTCAGATACAAATCCTTCCTCAAGGGCTAATTTCAAAATTCCTCCTATAAATTCCATATCAGTTTCTGTTAGAAGCTGTGCTCTATAAAGTTTTGAAGAAACAAAAGCTCTTCAGGATGGATTTGTACACTATCTAAAATATAATAAACTATTTTCTCAAGAGCCTGAAGCATTTTTGTGCCTTTGCTTTTCCCTCATTTTTTTGATTTTATGAAAGGATTAGAGTTAAGCCTATGGTGATCTCATCCCAAACTGAACTTGATTAAGTGTTCTGAACCTAGAATTTCTGGCTCCTTAGAGAAGGTGAAGCAAACATAAAGGAATTTGTACTGTTCACATCAAAAATTGTTGCAGCACATGTCAGTGATCAGATCAGAAACATATTTATCTATAGACCAGGCATGTCAAACTCGCGACGTCACGTGATGTCGCATGACGTATCGGAGCTTTTTTGCCATTGCCGGCAATGGGTGGGCACAGCTCCGGTATGATGAAACCGGCCCGCGGGCCAGCAGTTTGACACCCCTGCTATAGACCATACATTTGAGAAAAGACAGGCATATTTGCTTGGCAAAATAATGTCTATATAAACTGTCTTTACAGTTTCATACATTGGAGAAAATGACTTTAATCTGTATTCTTCTAACAAGTGAATGTAAGATTTATTAATATCACTAAGGTATATTATAAAAGAAGGCAGATTATGGTAGATTTATTCTAATTTACTGTATTTGTTAAAAGGCATAGGCAAATTGACTCTAGGTCACAGATGTCAAATTCGCTGCGTTATTGTGACTTTTTTCACATTGCTGGAGCTGGGGTGGCCGTGGCCTCTGCATGATGCAACCAGTCCGCCGGCCAGCAGTTTAACACCCCTGCTCTAGGTCATGAGATGAAAGTTCTGAATAAACAGGAATATAGCATTGAGATAAACGCAATTTCATTACATTTTACTGGCAACTGCTATTTTAGCAGTTAAAAAGAATTATACATTTAATACAAGGGTTATCAATTTCGCTGTATCTCAGTGCCTTCCCCCATGACAAATATTTGTGTGATGGTGTGTGATTAAAACTACATAACTAAGAAATAAAACTGCTGAGACCGGTGGCTTTGCAAATGGCTGGACCCATAGGGTTTAGCCATCTCTCAAAACTCTGGGTTTTGCTCAGTGTTTTGCCTCTGTAAACCTACTACAGCAATGTCTAGGCAACTCAAAACAAGTTTTGATAGTGCTTCCACTTTGTCTATGTAAGTCTGATTAGTTTAAAAAAAAAAGAGAAAAAAAGACTATACCTCTAATGTGCTCACAACAGCCCAGGGACTGCAATCTAGTCTGAGAAATTCTGCATCAATTTTGAAAATCCAGATTGGGATATAATGTAACTGCAATTGAAAATCTGCTCACGTCAGAAACAAACAGCGTGAGAAAACACTGGTCTGTTACTATAACAGTACTAACTTAACTACAAATTAAAGTTGAGAAGTTTCAAAATTTAAAACAAACTTAGATTTGTATTTATAGTAAGCTGACGTTTTGTAAAAATTGGAAAAATACTTACTTTCTCACGTTCTTTGTACATCAGTGGCACATTTTTTCCAGTTTGATAATTGGCATCTATATTAAATATCTGCTTTTGCATTGTAGCTGTAAGAGATTCTGGATATATTTGCAGGCTTCCACACTCTTTGAACTGCAAAACACAAACAAAATAATCTATACAATTCAATACTTAAAAAATGCACGCCAGATTCTATAGTCTGCATTTTATTGTTTGTATTACAGCAACACCTAGAGGCCCCATATAGAAGCAAAATCTCATTCTATTTTCACTTTATAAAAACATAACATAATTTCTATTTTCCAAGTTACATGATATACAAAAATATGCTAATACATTACACATACACATACACCTCTTGGTTGGTTGGATTTGAACAAAACTGTTTTATTTATTTGTTTTATGTGCCACCCATCTCAACTAGAGGGGGCCCTGGGCAGGTCACATCGTATTCATATCGGAAGCACCGCTTCCAGGCTGAAAGGATTAGCCAGTGACATTATCGTTGTCTGGAAGAAGCTCAGTTGGGGGGTCCTTTCATGTCTCCAGCACGACATGAGCTGGGGCAAAGGATGGGAGCTCATCCTGACTCTGGTCGAGTTACAAACATTAAAGCCAGTAGACCAGGGGTAGTCAACCTTGGCTCTTTTATGACTCGTGGACTTCAAGTCCCAGAATTCCTGATCCAGCTGTGCTCAGGAATTCTGGGAGTTGAAGTCCACGAGTCATAAAAGAGCCAAGGTTGACTACCCCTGCAGTAGACATTAAAATGATAAAACAATAAATAAAAAGTACAACTAAAAGATAGGGAAGAGAAGAGCACAAAGGACATGGGGAGAGGTGGGGTCTTTTCTTAATCCAATTGCCACCTCCATAATGGTACACCCCTAGGACTCCACATGATTTTTTGTACTATGTTAATAGTGAGTTTATTAAAATGGAAAATATATAGAAAATATATATTATAATTTAGATGTATAAAGTTGCCCAATTCAACATTGATTCAATGTACAAATTAAAAACAGATACAATACTTACAAACAAAATAAAAAGTATACAGTACATAAAGGATTAAACAGACATACCCTAACTGAAACACACTGCATGCCAAATGGGCAATTTCTCCCAGAGCTTGGGGGAAGGTGGAAGCTGTTTTTTAAAAAGTGCTTAAGGCTTGAAGAGAGTCTAAACCTCTGGGGGAATACTATTCCAAAACAGAGATGCTGTCACAAAGACGATGCACTTGTTAGGTCCTTTCAAATGGCATTATTTAAAGCAGGGGTGTCAAACTCGCTGCATCACATGACGTGTCGTGACATATCGCAACTTTTTTCCCCTTGCCAAAGCTGGGGTGAGCGCGGCTTCCATGTGACGCATCCAGCCTGTGGGCTGGCAGTTTTACACCCTGATTTAAAGGATAGGATATGAAGCATACCTTCTCTATCAGATCTTACAGGGCAGAAATGGGAAAGAGACAATTCCTTCAGATAGCCAGGCCTTATGCACAAAGGCTTTATTTCAATTATACATGCCAGGTCAGCAGCCTCATTCATGAGTTAGTTACAGAAGAGGGAAGGCTTGTTATATACCAATCTGTTGTTTAATTGTTAGAGTTCAGAGCAACCGAGGATCTAGTTACCTAGCAATGGAACTGAACAGTGGAAGCTGGAAGGCATAACTGATATCAAATATTGACAGACATTAACATGTGCAAAACTGATAAAAAGGTAGTAGATAACTCATAAGATATAAAATGACTTTGTGTGCTATCTAGCCACTTTGTGGGAATGTTATCTAGAAGTTGAGCATGTCAGAAGAACCATAAAATTGAATATAGTGGGAATCCAGGGTAATTAAGTGTGCTTGGTAAAACAAGAAGAGGCTCAAGAATGAATGGGTACTGAATACATGCGGATTAATACAAAAGTGATTGACTAGTACAAAGGAAGTACATTAAAGCAGTTTGGCCATGCAGAGAGAAGAAATGAGGACTGCAAAACAAATATATAAACAAAGAGAATGGAATGAGTGAACAAGAAGATTCATAAAGAAGTGGATAGGCCGATTGGATGAGATTCTCAAAGAGAACTATGAGAACAGCAAAGAACAAAAAGCAATGTATAAATGTTGTGTGAATTCAGCAAATTTTACTCATTGAAATAATGTTAAACAAAGTATCCCTTAGTGCAGTATGTAACCAATTAAATATTATCATAGGAATAAAAAAGACAATTCATAAGAATAAAAGGCAAGCATGTTTGACAAGGAGGCTTGCTATTAAGGCCAAATTAAAAGTGAAAAGGAAATGTAATAAAGTGTATCTTCAGCATGATTGCATTATTCATATTTTTAACAAGAGCTTTCATAAGTAAGTTTTATTTTGCATGATGTAGAACAATAGTTCTCTGCATTCAATATGAAAGAAATAATCCATATTAACACTGTATTCCTTATTAAAGCACAAGAGCAATTTGGCATTTCATAACAATAACAGTTACTGCTTCTATTGTATCATATTTTCCCATTAGAGGCCAAGGTAATGAGCCATTCTCTTGCCAAAAGGGGGAAAAAGAGTGAAACAGAAAAAAAAGCAAATCAAGTAGATTGTACGAAGAAGAGAAAAAAATAAATTGGAGGGTGGAAAAGGATAGAGGGAAATGCTAAATTATATACGAAGAAAAGCATTACTATTATATACAATGCTTGTACATCACAATTATATCTTCTTCAAATAAAAATGAAGAATAGTTTAGGAAACTATTTTTGGAGGGGGATGCTGTTAACTGGTAACATTTTGCAGACATAATACTAGAGCAGATAAATTATGTTAAACTGCAAGTGTTATACTGAAGTTATTTCAAATTATTCCTTATTCTTCTGCCTCCTTTCCTCCAAGCAGTCAGAGCAACATTTAGATTGCTTGTCTCTCACAACAATCTTGTGTGACAAAACTAGGATGAAAAGGGCCACTTCCTCCAAGATAATATAACTTTTTACAGCGCAGAGCTCTTAGTCACACTCAAGGAGGGAGGACAAGATTATTTCCATACTTAAATCTTTCAATCTATTCACCCAGCCATGTGCTGTATGAATTCTAATTCTGATTTATAAAGTTTGAAATGATTTTCCTTAAATCACGCAACGAGTCACAGGGCAATGAAAGACGAAACACAAGGATCTTTCCTTGTACGAAGCAATATTTGGTAACCCTAAATCCGTGGCTATTATGCTTTTTTTTTTTTTTTTTTTTTGACCGTCTCTCCTGCAGGCTCTTCCTTGCCTCCACGTGCCAAATGGACCAAGTGAGCCAGACTCTGGCCTGACCGTCGCCACCTTCCTTACCCAGATACCGTCCCGGGTGGTGCTTGGATTGGCCAGCCTCCCTTTCGGCATGGTGAGGAAGCTGAAGCCGAGCGCTCGGATTTCCGCGTGTGTGGGTTAACTTCGCCAGGGAGGCAGAAGAAAGGGTCGCCTCCTCCGAGGAGGAGAAAGAAAAAGAAGAGCAAGAGGTGGTGGTGGAGGGGGAGGAGGTAGTTCTGGTTGCCACGGCTACTGTTGTCAAGTGCCTTGCTTCTGTGTCACGCTGCGGGACTCCCCCCGCCTTTCCTTCAGCCTTTCCCAACCATTGAAGAAAAGGCGGGAAATCGCTTCTGCGTCAGTGGACCTTCTGTTTGAGGTAGTTTCTGGCTTTTAAAGAACTTCCAGCGGACATCTAGGGAGCTCAACTTTATGCAGGGAAATCGTTCAGGCACCGGCAGGCCAAGAGTTAAAGAAAAGTGGAGGAACTGTTTTGAGGCTCACGAGTTCCAGGGAGAATGTTCTCCTGACCCATCACAAGACTCTCAATGGACACACCCACACCTGACCCATCGCAAGACCTACTGACCACACGAAGCCCTTATAAACAAAAGCATATTGACATGCCCTAAACTCCGCTGAAGATTTTACCTAGCCTGGTAATGAAACGTTTAGAAACCAATCCACAAGCTTGGAGAACAAATCTTCACCCTCATCCTACACCCCAGCTACAGATATTCGCCACTATTGCAAATATTCTTCATTAGTATGGAGCAATGTCAACTCCATCTCTCCACAAGAGAAATAGTCAGGGCTCTGAATGTGACTTCTCAGGCAAATATATTGTGTGATAGTTGAATTGCACAGTTTTGATTTTTTGGGTGAAACTGGTCTATTTGCTGCAGTGTCACATGTTCCTGTCACAAGTTTTCATCAAAACCTAAACATTAGTAAGCTGCTTGGAGTCACCTAGAGTGAGTTGGGTGGCTATATACATTTTCTTAATAAATAAATACAATAAACAGCATGAGCCATAAAACGTTTTTAGAAGATGCCAACACGGAAAAGACACGGTTGAATGGTACTTTCTTACTGTGACCATTTGGAAGAAAGCTGATATAAATTAGGATTTCTACTGCAAAGGAATGAGTGGAAGTAAAAAGGTGGTAAGGGATGACCAATGTTCATATGCTCATATGCTCAGCTCAAATACAGGTAGATCTCAACTTACAACAGTTTGTTTAGTGACCGTTTGAAGTTACAACACCATTAAAAAAAGTGACGTATCGCTTTCCACACGACTATTGCAGCATCCCCATGATTACATGATCAAAATTTAGATGTTTGGCAACTGACTCATTTAGTATTGCAGTGCCCCAGGGTCATGTGATCACTTTTGCGAAACTCTTGACAAGCAAACTCAATGGGGAAGCCAGATTCACTTAACAACCTTGTTACTTAACAGCTGCTGTGATTCACTTAACAACTTTGGCAAGAAAAGTCGTAAAATGGGCCAAAATTCACTTAACAAATATTTTGCTTAGCAACAGAAATTTTGGACTCAATTGTGGTCGTAAGCCGAGGACTACTTTTCATTGTCATGTATGTATGTATTCTAGATATTGAGAAACATTTATATGAAATGTGGGTTCTATTAGCATTTAGTTCTGTAGCAATCTTTTAAAGATCAGTTGTGGCCCACGTTAAATAAGCAAACTGGCAGTCTGTTTGTACTTCATTTCCTATTTCAAAGCTTTTGATCTCATTTTGAAGTCAATTTTTCCACAAACCCAATGTCATACTTAAAATCAACTTTATAATTTTAGTGTATTTTTACAGTGTATAAAACGTAATAACTTATCAAATAACTCTATTTAGAAAAATACATTATTCTAGATTGCTTTATAATTCGCTGCTGTGATTTCTTCTTGCCCAATTAGTTCATATTCATACTGGAGATAATGAGACATTCTGTGAATAAGGCAAGATAAGATTTTTTTTATTTTTACAAAGAGAAAACACCCAGTTAAAGAAGTCTCTAAAAAAATGGCAGAGTCCGTGCTCCAAACTCTTTTGGTTCAAAGGGTACCCCTGAAAATCTTAACAGCATTTAATAGGCTCTCATAATATAGTTGCCATGGAAAAAATTATCCAAAATGGCTGCCACAGTGGTTAGGAACACTGCAAGGGAAGAAGAAAATATGCTACCAAAACTTCATCATAAGACAGGGGTGGGCAATTAATTTTTCCACGAGGTCATATAAGGAACTGGGACTGTTGTTGAAGGCTAAATCAATAGGATTGTGAAGATGCATAGGTGCATACACATATACATAAGTAAATTGGAAAAAAAAGTTGCCTTCTAAATAAAAGCAATGAATTTATATTACGTGCATGGCATATATTTATTTATATTTGATTTCTAATTTCTGATTGACCTCATGAGGGCCAGCCAAAGGGCTAGATATGGTCCAGGGATCATAAAATAACTCAATGTGGTTTAAGATGATGTTAAACTTTAAAGTCCTAAAAGTCTTAGAGCAGAGGCCCCCAACTTTTTGGGCACCAGGGACCAGTTCCGTGGACAGAGATTTTTCTATAGACCGGAGGGACCATGGTTTTGTGTGCTGTCTGCATCCTGTGGATGGGGCTTCGCTTATTTGCATGGCCTGGTTTCTGGCATGCCGCAGACCGGTGCCAGTCCATGGACCGGAGGTTGGGAACCTCTGTCTTAGATCCTACAAATATGATCAATTGTCTGTTCTGAACTTAAGTCCTGCCATAGTGATTTTTTAAAGATTTTTCCTCTTCCAGAGACTTACTGAACTGGCATATGGTAGAGAACTTTCTCCAACTTAATTCTAGGCCAAGAAAATATTCCCTCAAGATTTGATATTGACCCTTGCTCTTTCTGCCTTTCAGAGATCATTTAGGACATATTTGTTTAGCAGATCTTATATGTTAATATTAATATTTACCATGATTGTGTACAATATTTTCTTTTTGCAGAGTTTTCAGGTAAACAGAAAAGAAAGATAAAAGCTGAATTAAAAATTCAAAATAAGCAAAAGGTAACAGAATTTAGCTGGGTATGTTATAATTTGCTGCTACACATATCTGTTCACAAGATACTATTTCCTTTTGCACTAAGACTTATTTAGAGCATAAAGAAAAGTAAAAAAAAATTGAAAAGGAATTATGGGATTGAGATAAGCAAAAATAAAAAGAAATATAATTAAACTGGTTTATCTCAGCATCATTAACAATATCACCTCGTAATATTATATTCCTGCAAATGAGCCTTGTTCTACCACAGCTATATACTGCTGCATATTTTCCTTTTCTCTTTAAAATTTTAACTTCTGTGATTTGAGGATCTCATCAACTCTAGTGATGAATTCTTTGGTCTTCTTTTTGAGGAATTTACTCTTCCTTCATATATATTTTTCCTCAGGTCAACCTTCATTCGCTATCTGTGACCAAATTTTATCAAGTATATTGCTTATATTTCATGGTTGTAATTCAATTTTGTATTTAAATCCATATTCATTCAGTACCCATATGTTCTTAATCTACCTGTTCTTGTTTTACCACATACACACATTTTTAATATCTCTATAGCAATAATTTTCTCTGTAAGATGCAACTACCTTGGTGAGAGAGAGATCATTACACTGTCAACCACCAATACAGCTTTGTCTACTTCTTTATGCAGTACAGATAGTACTTCTGTATTGATGTCTAAAGCAATGCACCTCTAATATCACAAGCATTCCTAATATGTTTATAAATTAATTAACCAAGGGGAAATCATATAGCATTGTCTTTCTTCCTGTTCAGTGCTAAATCATTCACTATGCATTCTATTTATTTCACATGTAGCTTATTTCCATAATATATGCCTTTTTTCTATTCGGCAAATAGCTCCATATTTATGCAAAACATTTCACGGGTTATATCTATTGACTTTATTGTAATTTGCAGATTCCTATCTTGCAAAAATGCTATACTGTGCTCCCAAATTGTACTCATTTTCATTCAATCTAAATTTTTCCAAACTATCTTCCCAGGGACACTGAACAAAAGAATTCCCCTGAAGTTTATATATTCACTATTCCTTCCTTTCCCTTTGTATAGAGAATAATATTCTTCCAATCATCAGACATCAATACTGTCTTTACATATTTCTAATGTTCCTTCTGCATTCTTTCTCCACCTAATCATGTCATCATTTTTAAAAACTTCATTTCCACATGACGTCGCACAATGTTTCGGGACATTACCATTGCCGGCAATGGGGTGGGCGCAGCTTCCGCGTGATGTGTCCAGCCCGTGGGCCGGCAGTTTGACACCCCTGTTCTAGGTCATAATGGATTTATATAACTGTGCCTAGAGCAGGGGTAGGCAACCTTGGCTCTTTTATGACTTGTGGACTTCGATACCCAGAATTCCTGAATAAGCCATGCTGACTCAGGAATTCTGGGAGTTGAAGTCCACAAGTCATAAAAGACCCAAGGTTGCCTACCCCTGGCCTAGAGTAATTTTACATTCAGTGTAGTTTCTTTCCATATTTTCCACGTGCATTGTTTCAACTCTTGATAGCATCTAAAATCAATTTATAGAGATTCTGAATCTCTAACCACTTTTGTACTCTTGTCTATTTTTAAGTCTTTTGTCATAAACAATTAAGTTAGATATTTTTTATTTATATTTGTTTCTTGCCATGTGTATGGATTGCCTAAAACTGTGCTTAAATCATTTATTTGAAACGTATATTTTTCTTAGATATTCATTAGACATCATTATCATTCATTCGTCTTCAAATGGAAAGTACCTTTTTCTGTACCTTATCTACATTTATCCCTTTATATTACTTAACAAAATATTTTCCTCCTGAATCTCATTCAGAATGTTGCATAATTTCTCCCAAAACTCAACTCTACTTCTTTATTACCACTTACTGTCATGTAATTTGCAACTATTTTTGCATAACTCTATTGGTTTCTGGTTTCTGATCCACTAATAACAATCTAGATGACTTCAACATATTGAAAAAACATATTGTCGCTGTTTCACTCTTAATGTATCTTCATTGCATGTGTTCATCAACTGGATGGCATAAGCTCAGCGTACTTTTTCAGATTCTAGTCCTCTCTTTTTGCTCACCATCAAAAAACACAATAAATCTATT